ATAGATATGCACTGATACTCATTTTTTTTTTTCACGGATACGGATAGCTGATTATTCACAATGATATCTGCCGATACGATACCGATAGTTTGATTTTCTTAGGGAAAGAAAATCTCTCCCAATTTTTTTTCTCTCCCTGTTTTTTAACAATAAAAAAATAAAATACTTTTATTGGCTGATACATTGGTGCATCTCTAGTCCACACCAACGGACGATAACGTTCAGTTTATTATAAGCACACGTCGCAGTTTTGTCGTCTGTTGCTTTAAATGCATGTGTGGATTCTGATTGGCTGGCAAGTGTTTTATCGTTCGTCAGCTGGAAATTAGTTCTGATTGTGATTCCAGTTATATTGTTCCTCTGTGTTTATCTTCCCTGGTGTGAACTGTGAACAGACCATATCGTGTAGGAATCTTACATTCGTTGATATACAGATGTTTATGCCTCGTGAGGTGGGGTTTACACGAGTACGTACGAATCTTATGTTCTTTGATGCACATTTTCTATACCTTGCTAAATTAAACATTTAAGTCAAGTATTGAATATTGTTTTTTGTTGTTGTTGTTGGTAATTATTCTGAATTCTGCTGATTAAATATATCACCAGGTTAAAATGATCTAGCTGGCTGACGTAGATGACATTAAAGTAATGAGTGTTTTGCGTTACGGTAATGACTACTGGAGGGAAATGTGCCTAATTGTCATAAAAAATAATGGAAAAAATAATGCAACAGATCTTAATGAGGTTGAAAATGCATTTCCTTAGTGCAAAGTATGAGTAGTTATTTATTTTATTTCATTTGAGGCTGAAGCGTGACCCGGACAGATCCTTGCCAGTCTTTGATGTACGAGGGAGCTCTGTTTATATCACATCAAGTATTATCAAGTGACTATTAATGAAATGCGTCTAAAAATATCTGACGATCAAATATTTGGGAAAATCTAAACACTTTTGGACATTATCCATTAAGAATGCCAATGAAAGGATATAATCCCCCCCTCCCCCCTCTCTCTCTGGCCTCGACTAATTAAAGACACTCCGCTATAATGATGGCGGAGTGGGAAAATGGCGTGGTGGAGTTGGCGGCCGGTGTTGACGTGTAGCGTGTGCCGGTGAGGGCGTGACCCGTGACCTCTCCCGGCCCTCCGATGGCGTGTTCAGAGAAATGCCAATTACGATTCGGGCGCTGAACATCAGTGTCGTGTTTCATCACTCTCAGCCCATCTCCGCGCACAAAATGTCACATGCATCAGAGAGAGGCTTAGCTGTAAAGGGTAAAGAGATTCTATCGTTTTTGTGCCTTTTTTTTTTTTTTTTTTTTTGCATATTCATACTCTGCCTGGCCTCATTTGAATTTCATCTAAAAAAATCGAAGATAGGCTTTGTGTTGTTTCCTGATAGGCTGAGGGGACAATCGCGCTCCAATAGGGAGACAGCGTCGCAGTGGCTCCGCCTGTGAAGCCAGCTCTCCCTTCCAACAACACCTGGCTGAGTTGAATAACACAAGCGCTGTGCTGAGCTCGTACCTGCTGTGTGTGTGTGTGTCATGACCCTGTGCGTGAACTCGTTTTTTACCAAGAACTACAAACTGCGTCGTCTCATTTATATTGGAGGTGGATCTCGAATGTCTGGATGACTGCAGTTTATGTTTCTGAATTGATTCAGTTGTTTTTTCTATACGCATGAGACTTTAGTTAACATTTGTGTTTGGATCCCAAAAACCTTTTGTTCATTTGCTACAGAGGCCACATATCCATTTTTGGTGGTTTATTTTTGGGATTTTACTGATTTTGACTGTGAGAGAGTAGACCGGAAACATAGGTGGGTAGGTGGATGAATCGGATCGGGTAATGACCCAACCTGGATTCGGACTAAACGTCTCCCACGTACACAACATGTCGGAGCTCTTGCTCTTCCCAGCAGGCCATGTCTCTGACCTTTGGTAGCAGTTTATTTTTGCCCTGAAGTCTGAAAATAATGTTAGTCCAGGCTTCTTGGAGCAAACTCTGTTGTAGTTTTGTTCTACCCTTTCTGCTCTTTAGAATTAAACAGCCAGATTTTGCTTCTGTACCTTTAAGGCTTTTAAATGTAAATGACCTTTGTTGTGATTGGGTAATTTTTTTGTATGCGAAAACTACTGGCGAATAGCACAGACAGCGTTGGTATGTAAATGAGGTCGGCCTTGTTCTAATATTCACATGGTTGTGACCTTCCAACCGTTATGATTGATCTCCACATGACTTGTTCTTTTTCATAACTTTAAGCAATATCGCAGAGGAAGTTGTGTACGACCAAACCACAGCTCAACAGATATTCAGTCGCAAAACCGTTAGTTCGTACGTTTTTAATCTGCCAATGAAAATAGTTTTAACAGGAAAAAAAGTGTTATGTGTTGTCAGGCAACACAAAGAGACGGAATAGAGTATACGAGTGGAGCAAAATGCATTTTGCATTCCCGCTCAAAGCCTTCTGTAATTAATCCGTTCCTGCTCCACTCCGGGTTTTCCATTTCTTGCTCCCATCACCAGAGAAACCTATGATGAGTGATACTGGAATGAGATAAAACGCAAATGCTTTTTTGATAATATCACACTCTACTTCCACTCTCCACCGTCCGTAATCTCTGCTGAGAACTATCGGGAACAGAGAGGGATGCAGTGAAACATCCCAATGATGTTAAACTAAATATAAGCACTCTTGGAGGTCTGCTCGGCCAATCAAACTCAAGGATCAAAACTAACTGTTGTATAATATAGTGTATTTTTTTTCTGATTTTGAGTTCACTTATGTGCTTAACATTTGGTTTCAGAAAACCATTGAAGAGCTTGGTGTTTAGGACTGGACTATGGAATCAATATCCCGTCTAAAATCTTGCAGACATGGATCAAAAAATAATAAGCGTGAATCAACATTTTTAAAACGCATGTAAAAATATATTGCACAAACTGAAAAAAAGAATGCAAATTGATCAGAATAGCAAACAACGTGGTCAAGGATCAAAATATAATGAGCACGAATAAAAAAATAACAAGCATGTATAAAAACTTTAAACATATAAAAAATGATATTGCACAAAAGTTAAACTTGTGTATGTTCATGTTTCCTTAAAAATGATGCTTTCCTTGGTTTTATTATTCTGCACTTTGTGCTCTCTTACATTTTCTGCTCATATTTTACTCTTTTGTACGCTTGTTCTGTTTTTCTCTTCGCTCTTCTTTCCACGTTCTGCGCTTGCTTTTCCAAATGTTGCAGTTCGAGTTTCATGTAAATTATGGCGGGCTTAAGCGTCACCATTGGTCCACTAGTTCTAGATTGACAGCTCCTCCTCCAGCCAATCAATCGAAGAGGGGAGTTTACGTGAATTCAAGCGTGAATTTTTTTATTTATTCACGTTTATTATATTTTGATCCGTGTCCATGTTGTTTGCTGTTCTGACCATTTTGCTTTACTTTTTTCAGTTTGTGCTATAGATTTTTACATGTGTTTTTAAATATTTGATTCGCGATAATTATTTTTTGATCCGTGACCACAATACTTTTGACGGGATATTGATCCCAAATCCCATACTGTACAGTTTGACCCCCCAAATAACTTATTAACTAAGTGATCATGATAATGATTTGATTAATCGTTAGTTAATATAGGAAGACATTTGCTTTGTTTATACCAGTGTTAAAAAAAATCATTTTCATTAATTGAAATAAACTAAAATGAAATATAAATATTAGATGGAAAAAAACTATTGAACCTGAAGTAGTAAAAAACTAAAACTGAAATAAAAAATCAATTAAATCTAAATAGAAATATAAAAAATAAAACCGAATAAAAACAACAAAAGCACATAATAAAATTACTAAAACTAAAATGAAAATAAAAACAGAAAATATTTAAAAAAAAAGGTCATTTAAAGTATATAAAAAGCATATAAAATATACTTAAAGTATATTAAAAAAATAAAGTATACTAAAACAACACATATTTAAATAACTTTTTGAATTGCCCAAATAGTTTTGTTTTTAATAAGTAGACTAAACATAAAATGTCTCAATTCTGCACATTCTTTATCGTCTAGCACAAGAAATTCAACACAGTCACAAAAAAGCTCTAAAATTAGAAACTGAGGAGGAAGACAATTACAGCGTTATTCCCTGAGCTGTGAGGGCCTCTCTCAGGACACACGACACGAACGGACACGCTTCCTCCAGAGCAGGGCTGGGCAACTCTGGCCCTCCAGATCCTTATTTTCCTGAATAATTTCACTCTATCCCTGATCAAACTCACCTGCCTGCACTTTTAATAAGAGGTAAATGCATCCCCGTACTTTAGTGTGTTCACATAGATGATTTCATGGGCCAAGGTGAAGAAATCTAGATCTAAATTCAAAGAGATTGTATGCATGACCATCGTTTTATTTTTGAGCCAAAATGAGGCGGTGTAAGCATTTTGCAGCGCTAAACACTCATGTAATGCTCTGCTCTAGAGTCTGGCTACAGTATCTGAGGGCAGGATCACGTGCCAGCCATCTTGTAGCTGAATAGATTGTATTTTTGATCTGCTCACCTCACAAACAATTTGCTGCTAATGAATGCATTTGTGTGCTTGTTAGACACCGTCCTCAAGGAATTGATGCGCTGCTGAAATTTCCCTTCTGGACTGAAAAAACAGTCCTTTGATACGGCACAGGGCCTTTCGATTGGTTTTCTGTACCCGTCACGCTGGTCTGTGTTATTAGATTTTGAATGGATAATGTCACCATCCAAGTATGCCGATGACATGAGAATAGTTTAGTGAAGCATTTAGTTTTGGAATACATTTGAATTCATTCCCTTTTTTGTAATATCACTTAAATATGGTTGATTTTATTAGGTTTGAATTCAATATTGCTAAACATTTACGCCCAAGTTTGGAATATAAGGGTGTAATACGTGGTGTTTTTGGTGGTTTCTCTGGTTCCCACGTTGACTCATTTTGACTGAGACTTTTATATTTGTGTGTTTCAGTGGGCATCTGGAGAGCCTCCTGTTTCCGCCTCCTCGTGTTGCTGTACTACCATGAGCAGTTCCACTCCATCCACAGGTACTGTCTGTTCATCAACATCACTTTCATTAACAGTCTAGACACTTTCAGACCATTTTCAGGTGACTTAAATTGGCGTTTTTGTTGAATTATTCATGTGAAGGATTACTTTCGGTCACAGATTTAAAGACCACATGAAATCAAAGCTGTCCCTGCTTGCTTTCTTAATAAATGTCGGTGTTCGCGATTCATGTCTAATGTGTTTTCATTATCTATTATTAAAATTGAATAACCTTCTCTGCCTCTGAAATTAGTTTTCTTTTCTGCTAACCAAGGGTGTACAAGTGCGCAAAAAACTATACTTTATTCTGATTGGTCAATTACAGCATTCTGCGGTATAATGAGCGATAAACAACAGCCGATTTCCTACATAGTGGCTGTGTTAGTTTAATGTCTCTCGTATCTCTCACATAATAAAATAATTTTAATTCAAATCAATATTTTATGTCCATTTATTTATTTGCTGAGTAATAATGGGGATAATGTATGCTACAGTGAGCTGCTCATTATAGCATAAACCTCTGCTTCAGCTCAGAGTCCTTACACTAACTGTAAGTTATCCCTGATGTATTAGCCCTATATGTTTCACCTACACATTTTTTTTCATGCTGAATATTCAGATTTGTTCCGATATCTTACAAATGTAAAAATAAAATTAAAAGGTCATACTACAAAAGATAAATAGGTGGTAAACTCTGTTTCGTTTTGACATTCTTAATATATTTCCATGAAAAGTGTAAAACAGACTATTCAAACTGTTTTCATGGATTTTTCATGGATTTGCGAAAATTATCCCAGTCGTGATCCCACAGGAATCATCTTAAGATCTTTATAAAGTCTGTTAAAGTGCCCTTATTATGCTATTTTAAAGGCTCCTAATTATGTTTTGGAGGTCTTTTACAACAGGTTTACACATACATCCAACAAGCTCAGATAATACTTTAATTTTCTCATAATATACATTTCAGCATCTCCTCTTTCTTTTCTCACAGTGTCTGAAACTGTTCGATAAAAGATCCGGTCTCTCCAAACCTCTCCTTTCTGAGAGCCGACTCTGCTCTGATTGGTCAGATGGCCCAGTCTATTGTGATTGGTTTACTCTGCTCTGATTGGTCAGATGGCCCAGTCTGTTGTGATTGGTCAAACTTCGCTCTGATTGGTCGGATGACCCAGTCTGTTGTGATTGGTCAAACTTCGCTCTGATTGGTCAGATCATAGACATAATAAATACATAGACGCCCTATTGGCCGCTTTGGAACGTTGCTGCGATACGTCAACGGGTCCGCCATTTTGCGGAGGGCAAGACTGCGCTGTGAACAAATGTAAGTAAACGGGGGAGCTGCGTTTTTTCTGGATAAAAACAAACTGTTTTTACATTTATCAACTGATTTCAGTGGTTTGTATGTGGTGTACAAAAAGTTCCATCTCTAGTTATTTAAAATCTCGATAGTTAGACTTGTAAAAAAATTTTTTAAATAAAGAATGGTCAAAGCTCAGGCTTGTCATGTATCTGGCTTTTTATTCTTGGATAAGAATGGTGAAGACCCCCATACTGAGATATAATTTAAGTTTTCTTATTGTGGAAAAAGCATTTTCTGTGATTGACCAGATTTTAGCAATAACAAAGATAACTGATGGATCCTTTATAATAATACGTTATGGTACAACTACAGTGCAATGCAAATAGTAAATATAACATAAAGTGAGAAGTAATAGTAAATAGTTTACTCAATAAAATAAACAAATAGTATACAGCAAATAAAATAGTAATGATTAGTATAATTATATATAAGTGCAATAATACAATCATAAAAATATTGATAATAGCATAGTTTATTAATAATACTATAATAATAGCAATAGAATAAGAAATATCAATTACAGAATATACACAATAAAAAATAAGTTAAATAGTGACTTTAATATTTAACTCTTTTTGTTAAATTTCAGTTTTATTGATCGGTATAACAGAAGTAGCTTCAGTCAAACATACAGCAGGATACAACGTTAAAATAGCCTAAATATAAAGTTATGAAACTTCACTTTGCCCTCAGCCAAAACGATTTACCAGGGAATCATTTATAGATTAATGAGACCAAAGTTCGCCCGTTAGATATACACAAGACGAATAATATCTCATGTTTAACCACTAGACTACAGACATCCGAGTCAGCGGGAAAACTTCAGAAGCACTGGCCGAGGTACGGCTGTTCCAGGCGGGGTAGACGAGCGCTGAGCCCCGGTGAACACATCTTACAACTCCGAAAACGTCAGATCAAATTTTTAAATAGGCGCTATCTTTATAAACAAACCACATATTTGAGCTTTAAACAACTACATTGTCGACTGAAAAACTATTTAAACTACATTTCGTGACACAATAACAGTAGTATTTTTAAATGTATCCTCTGAACGTTACTATTACTAATTAAATCATGACCAAATACAACCAAAAACAAACGTTCAGTCTTGCTTGTGAAAGGTAATTCCTCGAAAGCTGTTTTCAATTGTGTGGCGATGTGTACAGCCCCAAACAGCGCACAAAACATGCATTTTTCTCAATTCCCGGTATTAGAGGTATAGGAAAGTTGCCATCCCCAACATGGCGGCGCCGTTGACGTACGCTCCAGCGGCCAATAGGGCGTCTATGTATTTATTATGTCTATGGGTCAGATGGCCCAGTCTGTTGTGATTGGTCAAACTTCGCTCTGATTGGTCAGATGGCCCAGTCTGTTGTGATTGGTCAAACTTCGCTCTGATTGGTCAGATGACCCAGTGTGTTGTGATTGGTCAAACTTCGCTCTGATTGGTCAGATGACCCAGTCTGTTGTGATTGCTCATACTTCGCTCTGATTGGTCAGGTGACCCAGTCTATTGTGATTGGTCAAACTTCGCTCTGATTGGTCGGATGACCCAGTCTGTTGTGATTGGTCAAACTTCGCTCTGATTGGTCAGATGACCCAGTCTGTTGTGATTGGTCATACTTCGCTCTGATTGGTCAGATGACCCAGTCTGTTGTGATTGGTCATACTTCGCTCTGATTGGTCAGATGGCCCAGTCTGTTGTGATTGGTCAAACTTCGCTCCGATTGGTCAGATGGCCCAGTCTGTTGTGATTGGTCAAACTTCGCTCTGATTGGTCAGATGGCCCAGTCTGTTGTGATTGGTCAAACTTCGCTCTGATTGGTCAGGTGACCCAGTCTGTTGTGATTGGTCAAACTTCGCTCTGATTGGTCAGATGACCCAGTCTGTTGTGATTGGTCATACTTCGCTCTGATTGGTCAGATGGCCCAGTCTGTTGTGATTGGTCATACTTCGCTCTGATTGGTCAGATGACCCAGTCTGTTGTGATTGGTCAAACTTTGCTCTGATTGGTCAGGTGACCCAGTCTGTTGTGATTGGTCATACTTCGCTCTGATTGGTCAGATGACCCAGTCTGTTGTGATTGGTCATACTTCGCTCTGATTGGTCAGATGGCCCAGTCTGTTGTGATTGGTCATACTTCGCTCTGATTGGTCAGATGGCCCAGTCTGTTGTGATTGGTCATACTTCGCTCTGATTGGTCAGATGGCCCAGTCTGTTGTGATTGGTCATACTTTGCTCCGATTGGTCAGATGACCCAGTCTGTTGAAATCAAATGTCCATTACCATATCTGAATTTCAGCTGCAGAGGTTTCCTCAACATTTGATTCACAGTGATAAAAACTTCTCTTAAAAAGTCTCATACCTTGGAAGTGCATGCAAAGTGGATTTTGCTTTCGCAGCAACGAAAACAGCGTCTTCTTGACATGTCGACCTCTCAACCCGAACCTCTTCCAGGCCTCAGGCACTACAGTAATGGAGGGTCAAATAGACGTTTTTTGCAAACAGACAATGAAGACCATAGGCTGGGATTATGCAAATATGATGCAAAAATTTTACAAACCTATGTATGTTCGTGCAGGAAGTGAGCCTGGAATTACTGACGACTGGTTTCAGGCAGTTCAGGATCGCTTCTTTCTTTTGGGAGACAATAACTCCATTTATCAAGCACTTTGATCTTTGAAACTGCAGATCTTTTGCAGTCACAAACAACTATATTACACACTACATGAAAGCTAATTTCTAAAAAGCATAATAGGGGCACTGATACGAAATATATTTTTAAAAAGAAATTACTATTGCTTTTTAACCTTTTTAACAGCACAAAAATGAACTGTGCAATGATCAGTGTGTGATGGTGGAATGGTTGGCGAGTGTATTAGCTGTTATTTGAGCATCTGAATGGAGGGCAGAATGAAATGACCCCATCATCGGCTCCCCTTATTCTCTTACCCCTCTCTGCCTTTTCTTTACTCTCTTGCTCACTCATCTTTCCCCTGGTACACAATAATCCTTAATATGTTGTTGTGCTTTGGAAAGGGAAACAGTGTCTCTATTATTTTCAGAGTTTAAAGTGGAATGACCAGGGAAAGCCTCCGGACAGCTTCTATATTTTGATATTTTCTGCTTCTCATGAAAGCTCCCCAGTTAGCGCTTTTAAGATGTTCTCGGCATTTTAGTGATTCGGCAAAATAATTGCAAAATGATGGCTTTCTGATCGACTGAAATGATCGACTACCAGCCTTTTCACTTTTTGTTTTCTCAAATTTTGGGGGTTTATCGCCAGCCAAGGTTAGTTTGCTGGTCTTGTCTGGTTTATCTGGTTAAAACTATCCAAATAAAAGACCTGCCTAACCAGCTTGGTCAGGCTGGGAGATCAGCTAAAGGTTACACAGTTTTTTTCCTGCAGGGTCCGTAATTAAAAAAACCTGTCTTTCAACCGCTAGTCTGAAATGCAGTCATTAGCATTTAGCCAAATTAGCACAAAATACAATCTTGAATTGAACTTGACCTCAGGCATATGTTTTCCCTGTTATGGAGTCAGTCGCATCATTGTTTGGGTTTCTTGACGCAAAATGGCCTTCACAGTACATCGTGGTCGTTGCTACACAAAACTAAGGAAGCCATAACAAAGCTGAC